GAAAAGAATATTCCAGAAAGAGGAAGTACTATATGGAAAGTTATTGAAGTGGGAAGTTGCTTGAAAAACTTTAATACAAAATAAATTAAATAGGATTCATTGCAAAAACACTTTTGGGAAGATCTACCATGTATAGAAGGTACTTATGGTAAGTGTGAAGAATACAAAAGTGACCAAGAAGTCTTTGAGGAAGTATGGGACCACAGCAAGTAAGCATTTGATTAACATACAGTGTCGGAGGTACCCAGTGCTGTGGTTGTCCCTCAGGAACATATAACCCAGACGTATAAAGGACAGGTAAGTAATGACTATCTAAAGAGAAACCCAGGGGTGCCTGGGCGGCTCACTTGGTTAGGCATTTGACTTTGGCTCAGGTCATTATTTCTTCGTTCGGGAGTTCAAGCCCTGCATGGGGCTCTCAGCTGTCAGCACCGAGCCCACTCTGGATCCTCTCTCTCTGTCTCTCAAAAACAAACATTAAAAAAATTTTAAGGGAAACCTGGTTCCGAAAATTTCCCATATACTCTTAATATTAATCCTTTATAAGAAAATTGAGACAGAGGCTGAGTAACTTGTCCAAGCTTAAAATAAATGTCTATGTCCTATTCCAACTGATCTGCCTGTAACAAAAATCCACTTTCCATATATGCTACCTAAATTATCTAATATAAGCAAATGAGGAAGAGAACATAATCTGTAACTTAGTTTTCTTCCTTTTAATAAAAAAATTTTTAATATGAAATTTATTGTCAAATTGGATTCCATACAACACCCAGTGTTCATCCCAACGGGTGCCCTCCTCAATGCCTATCACCCACTTTTCCTTCCCTCCCACCCCCCATCAACCCTCTGTTTATTCTCAGTTTTTAGGATCCACATAAGAGTGAAAATATATGGTATCTGTCTTTCTCTGTATGACTGATTTCACTTAGCATAACACTCTCCAGTTCCATCCATGTTGCTACAAAGGGCCATATTTCATTCTTTGTTATTGCCAGGTAGTATTCCATTGTGTTTATAAACCACAATTTCTTTATCCATTCATCAGTTGATGGACATTTAGGCTCTTTCCATAATTTGGCTATTGTTGAAAGTGCTGCTGTAAACATTGGGGTACAAGTGCCTCTATGCATCAGTACTCCTGTATCCCTGAGGCAAATTCCTAGCAGTGCTATTGCTGGGTCATAAGGTAGATCTATTCTTAATTTTTTGAAGAACCTCCACACTGTTTTCCAGAGTCTTGCACCAGTTTGCATTCCCACCAAAAGTGCAAGAGGGTTCCCGT